TAAGATAGGATAAATGTAAAGCTAATGTTCTCCCTGTGTCTGAGCAACTCAAGTGGCCTGCACAGCCACTTGTGGGGGCTTCCACATCGGGGGGGGGGTGGGGTGGGGGGGGGGAGGTTTAGGGATCACACCTACTAGTGAGAGCTGGAGGAGCCCGGGCGGCGCTGGACCTCTGGAGACGCGTGGCAAACCAGTGTCTACTTCCTCGTCCCGGCAATGCTCTTGTTGGCCTGGTGGGGACAGCTACCGGCCATACCCTAAGACACGGTGACACGATGACGGTCTGCACACGGGTCCTGGACCCCGACTCTGTGGGCGCAGCTCGCTCCCTCCCACCGAGGCCACAGGTTCGCCCACAGGCTGTAGAACGCAGACCGCGGACAGGGCGAGGACTCCCCAGGCCTGCCCCTGGTCCCGGCCGGGAGGCGGGACCCAAGAAGGGGAAGGGGCAGAGACCAAGGGCCTGACCTTCGGAAGAAAACGCTGGCCACCCATTCCCAACTCCAGATCAACTCCTGATTATGTGCAGGGACCACATCCCGCCCTCACACAACCCCTTCCTCCTTCCCTCCCCCTCCCCCCACCCTACCCTATCTCACGTGGTTCTACTCCAGATTGTGCAGGGACCACCTCCCGCTCACACCCAGCCCCCTCCCCCCCACACCACCACGGTACCCCACCCAGCGCGCTGGGCCTGGGTGAGGCCCATTTTACCCTAAAACATCATTCTTCTATGTAAGTTTTATCAGGGTTTGTGATTTTCCATTTTTCTTAAAATAACTTTGGAATGTCTGCCATGGATCCTACATATTTCTGGACCCCATTTGTTAACTGACCCGGAGTCAGTTCCGACTCATAGCAGCCCAGTAGAGGGTTTCCGAGGAGTCCACACCAGGACTCAAAAACAAAACAAAAAAACTTTTTAAACTCATAGTGACCCTCTATAGGGCTTCAGAGGAGTGACTGGTAGGTTTGAACCAGTGACCCTGTTGTTCAAATTGATCAGCAGTCCAGCAGAAAACCCAGGTTCCGCAAGTGAAACCATCAGAGAGGTCTTTCCCTGTGGCGTGGGGATCGCTGGGAAGGTGTGGTCCTCTGCCCATTCCTCTGATTTACTCTGATCTGACCATGAATTAACGTTATGACCTTGAGTAACTCACATGCCTTGCGGGGAGGGGGGGAGTGCTGTTTTCCCAAAATAAAGATTTTCCCCTCCTTTCACATACCATTCAATGGCATTTCAGACAAATAGTTGTAATACCTCTTTTGTTCTTTGTTGTTGTTAAGTGCCGTGGAGTCGGTTTTGACCCATGGTGACCCTGAATAGGGTTTCCGAGGCTGTAAATCTTTACGGGAGCAGATCACCTCATCTTTCTCCCGCGGAGCAGCTGGTAGTTTCGAACTGCTGACCTTCCGGTTCGCAGCCCGATTCGTAACCACTACGCTACCAGAGCTCCTTTAAACCAAAAGAAAACCCAGACAAATTCTAGGATAGAAGAGAACTGCTCAGTGCTTAGGCTTTCCAAGATTGAGCTCTGGTAGCGTAGTGGTTACGAATTGGGCTGCGAACCTTAAGGTCAGCGGTTTGAAACTACCAGCCGCCCCGCGGGAGAAAGATGAGGCTTTCTACTCCCATAAAGATTTATACCCTCGGAAACCCTGTACAGGGTCGCTATGGGTCGGAACCAACTCGATGGCACTTAACAACAATCTTGGTCCTTTTGAACTGCAAGGTTGGTGGCTCAAGCTTACCAGCTGCTCCTTGGAAACCCTATACAGGGTTGCTATGGGTCAGAATCGACTCAACAACATTTAATCTCTAGAATCCTGGTGTGGCACTGCGGATTAAGCGCTGGGCTGCAAAGTCGGTTTGAACCACAAGGTCGGCAGTTCAATTTCACCAGCTGCTCCTTGGAAACCCAATTCAGGATCGCTATGAGTCAGAACTAACGCCATGGCACTTAACCCTCTTCATGGGAGAAGACTGTTAGGTCTCTTCTCCAGGAGAGTATAGCTAGTGGGTTTGAACCACTGACCTTTCTGTTAGCAATCAAGCGTGTAAAGGTGCCTTGGAGTACAATATACCAACAATGGTTTTCAGTTTAGAAAAAACAAGTTAGAAGAAAATAGGTTACTATATGGAAATTATTTGCAATAGCTTTGCAATTATCCTATAAAACTAAAATTATTCTTATACAGAAAATTCAAAACATTGGATTTCACCTAATGACAGCCAGGGAGGGGTTTTTTGGCCAGGGGAAGGAGTTCATGGTCTACTCTTAAAACTATAGACAAAGTTTTATTTCAGAGACTTCATAGGCTCTGTCTTAATATTACTATTTAATCTTATAAGATACCTTTGTGACCTAAAAAAGTTTAGTCTTATGTACCAACTTGGTGAATATGATTTATTTTTTAATGACCATTTTGAATTAAACATTTTTAATGAGCAAAAAATTGTGATATGTTTGTAAAATGAAGCATTAACCATCCCTTTCCACAATCTTCTCTTCTCAGTTGGGTTCAATAATCCATTGCAAAATGGCTACACAGAAACTCAGACACCACGTTCATATTTATGTTATTAGGGACGTTAACAAGTTATATAATTCCAGGGTAAAAATGCTCAGGGCTCAGTTGTTCTGATCAGCTGCTGAGAAATGCCCCCCATAAGACACACTGCTCCACCGTAAGCCTCAACCTGGGGACACTTAACTCTTGCTCAGTGGTGACCCCCTGCTCTGTCCTGTGCTCTGCTGCCGCTTCTTTCTACTCCTGTTTTAACAGTTTTTTTTTTTTTTTTTGGAGTTACCATAATAATCTTGATTTAGGTTTGGTCAGTACAGGTAAGATATATTGGAGTCACAGAGCAATATGCATTAACAGGACACAACAGTTCATAAAAACTGAGTCAGTGGACAGAGATCTCAGAGTCTAAAAGATGTACTCCACTTACGGCTCCTCTTTGATGGTAGGGAGATCCCCTACTCCCGCTTTGGACATGACCCATTTTAACCCCCATGCTAGATAGAGGTTCAAGGTTTACAATTACAATAAACTCTGTTTAAAAACCCCAGGTGAATCATGCCATCCTGTCAGTATTTTCTCCCACCTTCTCATACACTCGGATCAGTAGGAGTCACAAACTACGTCTAGAAGTGACATTAAAAAAATTCACTATTCACTACACCACGTACTAAAAAAGTAGTAAATGGCCAGTTTTAAGTGTTATGGAAAGTTATAATTATCAGGGAAATACAAAGTAAAAAACCGAATAAAAATCTATATACATACCAAAATTATTTCCACCACTAGTTGGTCAGTTTGTCATACTGTGGTGGCTTGTGAGTTGCTGTAATTCTGGAAGCTATGTCACCGGAAGATCGTAGAAAATTGATGCCTTTGAGTTGTGGTGTTGGAGGAGAATACTGAAAGTGCCATGGACTGCCAAAAGAACCAATAGATCTGTTTTGGAAGAAGTGC